GGACTCATTGAAGACAACATCCTTGGATATATACACCCTTCCATCAGTGGACATACACTTGTAGCCTTTGTGATGTGGAGAAAATCCAAGAAATACACATTCCTTGGTATGGAAGTTAAATTTGTGAGGGTTGTATGGTCTGAGATAGGGAAAACAAGCACAACCAAATGCTCTAACTGTCATATAATCAGGTGCGGCATTATAGAGCAAATGGTAGGGAGATTGCATAGACAAAACAGGAGTAGGCATCCTATTAATCAGGAAAGTTGCTGCCTGAAAAGCATAGTCCCAGAATTTTAGAGGTAGAGATGCTTGTGCCAATTGTGAGGCCTGTTTCCACAACATGTCTATGTTTCCTCTCAACAGCACCATTTTGATGGTGAGTGTGAGGACAGGTAAATCTGTGTGTGATGCCTTGTGCAGCCAGAATAGAAGTGAGAGGTTGAAACTCTCCACCTCCATCAGTTTGTAAGGCTTTGAATGTGTGCTTGAATTGTGTTTTAATGTGAGCCAAGAATAACTTGAAGATAGATATTACCTCATATTTTTAAGTCATTAAAAGTACCCAAGTAAACTTGGTGAAGGCATCAACAATAGTGAGCATGTATTTGTATCCAGCAACAGATGCTACTGGTGAAGGACCCCACACATCTGCATGAAGTAATTCAAAAGGAGCATGGTACTGTGTAGTGGATGTGTGTGAAGGTAATCTGTGCACTTTTCCCAAACAACAAGCAGAACAGAAATCAAATTGAGATTTAACTAGTACAGGAACATTACAACTTGTAAGAACAGTTTTGAGGACCTCATGATGAGGATGCCCCAACCTATTATGCCACTGTGAATACAGAAAAAGTCCTATTCCAGACATGATATTCTTACTAGTAGTTAAGGAAACAATAGGTACATGAAGTTTGGTGTGTGTGTGTGTGCGCGCGCGCGCGCGCACATTTAGTGATTTATTGGTGGAGCTGGTAGTAGGTGTGAGATTGCCAAATGTATAGAGCCCATCCTTCCCAAGAGTGCCTTGCAATAGGACTTCAGAAGTAGCCTGGGATTTGACATTACAGTGATTAGGATGAAACTCAAAAAATACCTTGTTGTCTCTTGCAAACTGTCTCACAGATATCAAATTTTTTGTAATTTAGGGCACTAATAAGAGATTATTTAAGGCAAGTGTAACATGTGGTTTGTGTGCAGATTTGAAGGAAGTGTTACCAATTGATGTAATTGACAGACCTTGACCATTGCCAAGCATAACTTTGACAGACCTTGACCATTGCCAAACATAACTTGGTCTGAGCCAGAGGTAGGAATGCTATCCAAAAAATGATCAGCAGAATTGGTGACATGGTGAGTTGCTCCTGAATCTGCATACCACTGATTGTTGCCAGCTAAAGATTGAATATATGTGCCTGCAAGAAAAGCCTGAGATTGTTTGCTACCAGATGCAGTGCTAGAAGGCGTAGCAAGGAATCCTTGCGCAGGACCACGCCATTGAGTGGGAGGCATCCACTGATGAGGCATTTGCACTGCAAGATTACCTTGAAAGTAGGGCACAGCAAAATTAGCCATTGGTACTGGAGCTAAAGCTGGAGCACGCCATTGCTGAGATCCAGAACTAGCAACTGAAAGTCTGAAGTAGCAAACCTTTGCATCGTGTCCAATTTTAGCACAGATCTGACATTGCACCTTGGATCTACCACTGTTGCGACCACCACCGCGTGCGAACTGGCTACTACGACCACCGCGATTGCCGTGAAACTGAGTTTGCGCCGTCGCGACACTGTTTTGCGCCGTCGCATCTGAAATTGTGGACGATTGCGCTTCTGATGATGATTGCGAGACAGATCCTTGCGTCAGGTTAACCGTTAGGGCATCGTGTGTAGCTACACGTGTAGATCTTTCTAAACGAGCTTCATGAGAGAGAAGCATCGTCTCTGCAACCACAATTTCACAAGGCTGGTCACGATACTGAATAATGGATGCTAGGGCTTGATATTCTTGAGGCAATCCATCCACGATAGTCTCAAGATGATCACGATGCGAAACTGGATCACCAATGCATTCAAGAATATCAACAATTTGTTGAATTCTCCCTAAATACTGAGCTATAGTTCTGTCACCTTTCTCCATAGTGCGCAACTCAAACCTTAACTGACGTGACTTAGCATACACTTGAGTTCTCTGAAATTGATCTATTACAGTCCATATCTCATGAGCATGAACACACCTCACAACACGAGGAAGAACCACATCAGAGAGAGTAGTGAGGAGCCACGTGAAGAGGAGAGAATCCTCTTGCTGCCACTGCACATATGCAGGATTTTTCCAGATCTGAAGCATGATCGTTGGTAGAGAGATATCCAGGAGGAATATCAGGATTTGCAAGGTGACGATGAAGTTTGTGAATGCGAATTATACCTTCTACTTGCTGCTTCCAAGAGAGGAAGTTGTTGTTATCAAGCTTGATGGTGATGTGTTGCCCAAACGTTTTGAACGCATTCTTCAGATTTGAAGCTGCTGCGTTGGATGTTGAAGAAGACGGTGTACTACTTCCCGGAGTTGGAGGATCCGTGAAGAATGGTGGAGGATCAGAGACGGAAGCCATGGCTGTGATGAATCACAAGCTCAGGATACCATAATAGAGTTTTGTAAGAAGAGCATATTCAAGGAGGAGAGTTTTGTATTGATTAAATCTCAAATGAATTGATACACTGCTATGCTTTATATAGACAAGCTTTGCATAACAGAAAGTACAGTTCAGCATAACTAACTCTAACAGTTAGTTATGACTGATAACAGATTTATATTAAATGCTGCCAGGTCAGCATTTCTAAGCTATTCTATTCTACGCTTATACTCTAATAAATATGCTTTGGATATCTTGGAACAAACCAGCATGTTGAATTGTAAGCCAACTGACATGCTTGTGGATCCAAATGTCAAACTCTTACCAGATCATGGGGGGGTCTTTTTTAGTTGCGCTTTTGTGGTCACTGTGAATCTCATTTGCGATAATCAAGCAGCCATACATATGGCCTCTAATACAGTCTTTCATGAACAAACTAAGTATATTGAGATTAATTCTCATTTTATTCGTGAGAAGATTGTGTCCGGTGAGATTGCTACTTCATTTATTGATTATAATGATCAATTGGCAGACATATTCACAAAAGCCTTTCGGGACCAAGAATAACTTACCTATGTAACAACTTGGATGCCTGACCTATATGCTCCAACTTGATATTTATTCATTAGGACTATATTGATTTCTCTCCCTTAATTAAGGAATTCTATTTGTATAATATTCAATATAAATAAGGTCAAGTTAAGAGATGATCTCTCAAATCATTCAGTATTAATTTCTTATTCTTAGCTAGAGCATTATAGACTAAATGTAATATTAAAAAAAGATAAAGAACCAATGAAATAATTTTGCCTATAAAAAAATAATTACGTAAAACTTTAGAATAACACTCACATAAAAACAAATCAAGGTTTTAAACCAGAATGTAATGGAGCCAAACAATTCTAATCCAATCCCCGCCTCTAGTTCCCAAAGACAAATTGAAAGTTCGTGGAAGGAAACATAAATTAAAAATGAAGATAAACTACCATCTTGACACAAAACCTTACCAAAACAGAAAAGTTAATTTATGAGACATGAAATTGTGCATTGTAGAGACTATGTAATATATATATTCTAATCTTTGTACATCTTGTGCTTAGATGTAATATTTATATTCTAATCTTTGTACATCTTGTGCTTAGATTAGAGTCCATTAAATATATATTTTTGCTTTTTAATAAAATGAAATTGAAATGTGTTTGGGGATAATTGCATGAATGCACAATAGTTCAATCAAAGTTTCTCGGTACAACTTGAGAAACAATTTTGAAGCCTTTCATCATTGAGTGAGGAGAAAAGGCAGCCATTAAAATTTATACTTTTCCAAATTTAGGTTTCTTTTAAACCATTGACACAGAATAAAATGTAACTTAATTTAACATGCAATTCAGGTCAGAGTTATCAATAGTGGCACTATCTCGGGATAGCGGCCCGAAGTGGTGACCCTCCATTGTGGAGGAGCGGTTCCCGTCTCAGTTTGAGATAGCAGCCGCTATTTGATGTTTGGCAGGTAGCGGGAGCGGAGCGCTTCAGAGTCCGAACAGGTTTGAACGGTTTTGAACACGAAAACTCAGATTTACCCTTAAAGTAAATAAACGTTTGGAGTAGTTTTGTGGAATTTTTCCAATTTTCCATAACTCATAACACAAAACAGAGGATTCGATCTTCTTTTCACACGCTTTTGTTTTAGTTTTCAGAGTTTTCTTCTCACAATCTTCTTCCCAGTGCCACCACCCTCTGCATCGTTTCTTAGCGTCGCCGTGAAATCACCTATTCTCAAGTTTGTTTTTACTTCTCTGTTCTTCTTTTCTTCTTTCTTCTTCTATCTTTCTTTCTTTCTTTACTCTTCTTTCTTGATTCTTTTCTTTGTTACTCTGTTTTTTCTAAAGTCTTCTTTTATTCTTCTTTCTTTATTTTTTCTCTTCTTTATTCATATTGTCCTCCGTTTTTTTAAGTAATAGTCATTTAAACTCTATTCCTCTTCTTCTTTTATAGATTATTCATATAATTAGTCTAAAAAATAGTCAAATAGCGGTTATCCCGGTATGCGCTATCCCGCTATATCCCATTTTTTGGATCGGCCACTCCGCTCTGTTATCTGGGATTGATAACTCTGATTCAGGTTCTGTCAACTTTTGGTCAACCAATTTTCACTGCATGCCAACTTTTTTGCTCCAAAATATAATTAAGCAGAAAATCATACTAGAGTATACACTGGCAATGAAATCAACTTTGAAAGCTAAGCAAATGACAACAAGATTAACCAAGACATATAAACCATCATTCCTGTCTAGTCGGCAAGAACTTCAAATAAACATGGACATAATTTTAGGCATGGGTATTGCTTTGAAGTTAAATAGCAACTTGCCTGAGGTAAACTCTCTTTAATCTCGTCAATCAACCACCTGCAGACAGAAATAAACAGAATATCATAAACCATTCTGTTTGTTAATATTAATAATCAAATGAGTACACATTTATCAGTTGTTAGCACTGGTTAGTATTATGTTGCTGCCATAGATGACTTCAAATTTTCCCATAGTCATGATCTGATACATTTCTAACAGTCAATAGCAATACCTGTAATCAAAACTGGGGAAAAAATTATGTAGAGTGTTCACAATCAATTCTACAGTGGCTTGATCAGCAGCCGCGGTTTCAGTCATGTGAGAGTGTTGGACCTGTACATTGACAGGTACCACATAAATGAACACTATTTTTTTGGCGTAGGAAACACATACTCAAATTCAAATCAAGCAGAAGAAAACATATTCAATTGCTTTTAATAATAAATAGTGAATAAAATTTAGCAACAAACGGAACCTTCACAGCAACTTTCTGGCCATCGTGTGTGCGTGCTACGTGAACTTGTGCAAGGGATGCACTTGCTATTGGAACTGGATCGAACTCGGCAAATACCTATACATTAGAAGGAAAAATTCACCCACCACAACCATGAATGACAACTAGTTAGGCAAAAATGAGGCATTTATCAAGAGGCAACAAAGCAGATAATAAGTACTTTATCCGGTGTCTCTCCAAACTCTTTCTTGAATACAGTACATATTTGTTCATACGAAGAAACCGGACATCTATTTAGCATGGACTCCCTCATGGTCTGAACATATTCTTTAGGAACTAAGTATTCCTGTCATTGACAATAAGCAATTGGACAAGGGAAGTTAATAAATTCAGTATTCTGTACATCTTTTTCACATAAAAAAACAATACAATTTGAACCAAAATATACCAATTGCCCGAGATGTTGCCCAAGCTTTATATAAATCCCTCCATTCTTAAAACACAGGTCTCGAAGTTTTTCTGCTGAACGGAGGTGAACTTCATGCTTGATTTTCTCCCTTTCACTACTTCCTTCCGGGATTCCCCATAGTGAATATTCATAATCTAACCACAATACAAAATCAAAACTAGCACAATCAATTCAACATTCATTTTCACATAATTGAATACACAAACATCAAAATCCACAATCAGCGTGATAACTAAGCACAATTTCAACACTCTAACTAATTGTACACAATCAACGTCAATTTTCAACATGTTCAATAAACTTAAACCCCTAATCAGCTTTAAACACTCATTCTAATGATTCAATGGAGTTTAACAAATAGAAATAAAGTCCAAGGAAGGAAGGGGGAAATAGATGGAATTTGTGAAAAATTTTATGAATTTTGGAAATTAAGAAGATTCTTGAGATCTACAGTACCGAACACAATGTTGGCGGCAGCGACCGCGTCGGCAAAGAGGCGACGAGGGATAGTTGTGGAGAGATTGAAGGCCGTTGCAGGATCGTCGGAGGTGGCAATGAGCGCCGCTGCGCCACCGCCGCCGATGGCGGATGCTAGTAGAGTTAGCTTGGTCCCTGCGCGCCATAATGAAGCCATGTGATACTGTGAATTGAAAATAGGTGGAAGTAGTTGTGGCACGGTTTACAGTTACAATATCATACCTAATACCTAATGTAACATATAGCAGTTTTTCTTAATGAAAAAAATAAATATTTTCTCACCTTTATGAAACAACAATGAAGTTAAAGAAAGTTTGAAATTCAATCAAATCAAACTCGTAATTGTAATTAGTATTGCAAGATGATAAGCGTCAATGTTAGTTTTTGGATAAATGTATTTAATCACACCTTCATGAGAGATAATGTTTCAAGAAGAATGAGAAACAAACGAAGATTAAGGTTTCTTTAAGCATGATCATATTAACCACAACAAGAAAGTTCATTTTCATAAAATAAAAATAAAAAATAAAAAATAAAAAGAAAGCAAACTACTTCTTATTATTTTCTAACTATGGACTACATCACGAAACAAATAGACCAAGGCTATAAGTAGAGCTGTCAATGAACCGAATCAACTCGAAAATAGTTCGGAATTTGATTCGACAATTAAATCGTTGAATTGGGTTCATGAACCAAATGAATTGAGTATGAGCGAAAAAATTAAGTTCGTTAACTAAATGAGCTGAACTTGAACTATACATAGTTTGACTCGTTAGGTTCATGAGTCAACTCGATTACATATGAGAAAAATTATACTGTCTTTAAGATTAGGTTTAAATATTTACTTCAAATCTTAGACAAATTTAATCTTCAATTTAATAGTTTTTGAATTAGACTCTCAAATGTATCTCTTGAAAGTTGTGTAGGTTTTGAATTAGTAGATTTCGAAAATAAAGTTAAATTTCAATATGATAACTTTTATTTTATTTTAATATTTTATTTTAAAATATATATTTATTTAAAATGTAAAATATACTAAAAAATATATATATTTAAAAAAATAGTTTTTAAATTCGTGAATCATGTGAGCTGAATCTAATGAGATGAATCTAACGAGTTGAACCGAACTGTTCGTGAACTTATAACGAGTCGAGTTTGAGCTTAAAAAAAAGTTCGTGTCGAACTCGAACTCGAACCAATTCTTAATAAGTCGAGGCGAATTGAGGTGAGTTCAACCCGACTCGATTCATTTTCAACCCTAGTTATAAGAAAAAACACCAACATAAATTCCCTAAAAATCCATAATGTGATTATGTGATTCTCATTAACTAAACGTCAATATTGAGTTTAATAAAATTAGTTGGAGAAACTTTCACCCAAACTTATAAGTCACAAAACAGTTAAAGGTTTTCATTGAGACATCTTATAATCGAAATGGAACACATAATCAAGTTAATAAAAGTTAAGAAGTATGTGTTATTAAAATAGGAGATGTAAAGATTTATATGTTGTGAATGACTTATTCTTGAAGTATCAAGATTCCATTAACTTGCATGACATGTTTTCTATTGTACACTAGTGTAAAAATAACATTAGAATTGTTGATACCATACCTATTTTATTAATATATATATATATATATATATATATATATATATATATATATATATATATATATATATATATATATATATATATATATATATATATATATATATATATATATATATATATATATATATATATATATATATATATATATATATATATATATATATATATAATATATGTATTGGCAATTATGTAATTAAAATGAAAAGTTTAGTTTTAGGGTTTACCAATAACACTAATTTTTTTTATAAATCAGATAACTAAAGTGATTACTTTAAAATAAATAAAATTAATTGATATTAAATACTTGATCTTAAGAAAAATAGATATAAAATAACAAATGCAAAACATAGAAATATAAATCTATACTTGATTTTAAGAAAAATAAATATGATAGGTAAATCATATAATTTTGTTTTGACTTTTTTAAAAATATTCTTGCTTCATTGATCGGCATTTTCAAACCTTAAAACCTAATATGTATTATTACTTGAAAATACATACAAAGCGAGCAAATGCACACTACTACTGTTGAAATTGTCAGTGTTACCTCAACATAATCGACATATTTTATAGCATTTGCTTCCTTGAAATCTGATATTCATAAAAGTTTTTGTTGGTCTTACTTATGGCTGGTAATGAACCAAACAAATTCGAAAATAGTTCAAAATTCGATTCGACAATTAATTCGTTAAACTTGATTCATGAACCTAATGAATTGAATATGAGCGAAAAACTAAGTTTGTTAACTAAATGAGTTGAACTTAAACTATGTATAGTTCGACCCGTTAGATTTATGAGCCAACTCGATTATATATGAGAAGGATTATATTGTCTTTAAAAATAAGTTTAAAATTTTAATATAAATTTTAACCTTATAGTTTATTTTAATTTAACGGTGTTAATTGATCATTTATATTCTCAACTAAGCAAAATATTTCTAAAAATAATTATACAAATAAAATTAACATCATATAAATTAATTAATTTTTGAATTAGTATATTTCTTAGACAAAGTTAAATTTCAATCTAATAACATGTTTTGAATTGTTATGGAAAGAATTATTTATTCTATGAATGATAAGTAGTGTGAGAAAGGTTTGATACACTTTGAGCAAGTATGTGTTAATCGCATTGTTTTGGTTTATTATGTCAAAGACATTGTGTTCGAATATTCACAAGGAAAGGTTTAGTATAGCAATGACTAATCGAGTGATGCATTTTGGGAATACAACTTCTAACAAGTATGAGACTTATATTAAAACTCATTACTTTAAGCTACACATGTTAGTTATTAAATCATTGTCTTTTATGTGTAGTCTTATATTAGGGTTCAGATTGTGCATTTGACATTGAAGATGTTGTTGGAACATAATAAGGGAAATTTATGTAAATATTGAGAGAGTATGCACAACATGCTAAGGTTTAAATCAAGAAAGATTCAAACATTATTTGAGAAAGATGTGTGTTATATAAAGCATAGTAACAACAATCTATTTTATTAGATCTCAATGGAATTATGTATAAGAAAAGCATATGTCACATTATTGAAGAGTAATATAACAAAGTCAATTTATCAAGTAGTGAAGAGAAAATATGTTTTGCTCAATTAGAAGTTAGAACAACATATTGTTTACCTTTTCCTTGTGTTGGTGAATTAGCATAATATAAGACGGGGTAAAATCAAATCCAATTGGATGCAGTTCACTTACATTAAAATTTGTTGAAGTTAAAGAGTTAAAAATATGATGGAGAGATGAAAAAAGATTAGATTTGGATATCAAATCATATATGGATGTATTATGGAGAAGATGGGAGACACTATATATTATTGGTAAAGGGACATCGAAGAGAAAAATGTTTAAACATGCATATCTAAATACATCTTATATATGGCCCCCACGTGATAAATTCAAAAAAAGGGGAATAAAGAAGATGCATATTTAAATACATCTTATACATGACTTCCCTATTTATGATATAACCTTTATAGGTTATAGTTTTTTTTATTTTTTTCACCTTTTGAACATAACCTATGTTCAAGTCTGAGGTTAGCTCCTTCCATTATTTGTCCCCCCTCCTGGAGTTATATTTGATCTTTCCAGCATCTAAGTTCCATCACATAAAGCCTCAAGCCAAGGTGTTTTTGGGATTCCCTAATATTAATCATGGTTTGGTGACTTTTGAGACTACTTTACTTATTTTAAACCTCTTTCTTCACCCATAGAAGATTTCCATTGTCGTTTTGTGATACCTTATCACTTGTCTCGTATTGTACACGAGACAATATACATTATTGGTTATCCTTGTTTGTCGCACTTTCTCCATTGTTTATCCAATTCTTATTTCTCATTACTTTCTAAGGAATTTGTCTCGTCCCTAAGGATTTATATAGTGATTCTTTATTATTTTCTAGGGGATGAAAATACACTCGTATTCCTTGGTCAAACCTATTTATTACTTCTTATTGACTTTTCACATTTGCTTTCAGTGGCGAAAAAGAATGCTTTGTAGCTTATGGTGTGTTTTATAATATGATTTGTTACATTATTCTTACAATTTGTCACTCGTCTTCTGTTTATTTTTGAACTATAGATGGTTGGTGTAGGAAATCACGAAGACACTCTTTTGGGTTATGGAGCCTCCTCAAGGTAGTCAATTTAACCTTCCATTTTAAAGGTAGGTAGAGGGACATTAGTCAGAACTTTTGAGATTGAAATCATGCTCTTTGTAAAGTGGGCTCGAGCCAATGGTTCTTTGGTTGCTGACAAAGCTTTAGTTGTTGCCCTTCGTTGTGAAAATGAGATTATGAAACGAAGTTAGAGCTAACACAAGTTTTAGGGGCTTAAAGAGTAAGTCGCTTATTTGGTATTGGAAAATGTGAAGTTGAGTAGGAATCACTGGGAAGCATGTATTCGCCTTGAAAAGATAATTTTTTATTTAAGTGTCAGTTTTTTCGTCTTGGCACAAAGTCTTTAGATTTTGAAGCGGCAGTGGTGAGTGTGAATGCTCATGTTTTAAAAATGCAATAGCTTAACTTTGTATCATGAATCCCTCGATTTCTCTAGTAACTTTTGTTCTTAGAGTCAGTAAGACAGTATAGGAAGGTCGGATTGAATATAAGTGATTGGTTCATAATTTTCCCAAGGGAATTTATGTTTTTGTTTTGTATTTGGCTGTTAACTTATGTGGTTGTATACGGCTTTATAAGCAATGTTGTTTCCTTGCATTTTTACTTTATTCATTTATTGGTTGCCCCCGATTTTCTTTATTTGATCGCTCTTAGGGCCATTATTGTCTTATTGAAATTATGCCTTTGTTTAGGCTTCTTCTAATGAAATAAGTTATAATAGCCAATATATATATATATATATATATATATATATATATATATATATATATATATATATATATATATATATATATATATATATATATATATATATATATATATATATATATATATATATATATATATATATATATGTATATATATATATATATATATATATATATATATATATATATATATATTGTAAAAAAAAT